AGCGAAGCGGTTTTATTGGGGGCCGGGGGCCTCAGGGCTCGGGGGGGCCCTCGGCGGGCGGCGCGTCCCCCCCGCGGCGAAGCGTCTCCATGTGCTTCTGCATCTTCTCTGTCATCCAGGCCGGCGGGACGAAGGGCTTCAGCTCCTCCAGCCGCAGGTCGACGGAGTCCCTGGGGAGAGCGGGGGTGAGATGGAGGGGTCCCACCACGGACCCCTGACCAGCACCGAGCCCAAACCCCGGCACCACCACGGACCCCCGACCAGCACCGAGCCCGAGCCCAAGCCCAAGCCCCTGGCACCCACCCCCAGCCAGCGCCAAGCCCTCAACCAGCACCGAGCCCCCAAACCCCGGCACCGAGCCCCCCAGGCGGCACAGAGCAGGGCCCACAGGGCCACCCTGCAGTGGAGCAGCGGAGGCACCCGGGGCAGCAGCCCCAGGCACAGCAGCACGCGCGGTACCTCTACTTAGGTCCTCACCTGTAATCGTCGCTGGCAGCCAAATCCCGAATGTCCTCTTCGATGAGGAGGTAGGCCTGCAGCACAAGGCGAGGGGACACCTCAGGGCCGCTGCGTGCCTGCTCCGGTGCCCAGGAGGGGCAGGGAGGGCAGCACTGCGGCCCCCGTCCCTGGCCGGCGCGGAGCCACTGCTCCTCGCGGGAGCCAGCTGTGCCTCCTGGCCCGCGCCGCTCGCCCTCGTGTGCGCCCGAAGCCGAGGGGCAGCGGAGGGGCCTCCGCGGCACCCCGGCAGCGCGTCTGCCCCTGCGGTGGGTCTGGTCTCTGCGCGGTTCCCGCCGGCTGCAGGAGCCGCGAGCCCGGGCGTACTCACCATCTTGCCCCCAGTGGCCCTCATGTGCTGCTGCTCTGCCAGCCAGTGCTTATCTTGCGGGTCGGCTGCGTACTGCAATAAAGCAGCAAGGACCTAGCTGAACACAGGCAACAGACCTTCCACTCTGACCCCCCTCCTGCTGGGACGCTGCGCCCGCTCCAGCGCTCCCTCAAGCGCATTGCGCCCCGCGGCGCTGCCCAGCTGGGGCTGCCGGGGGAGGCCTCAGCTCTGCCTGCCCGTTCTCCAACCTCAAGCCCTGGCTCCAGGCAAACCCACCGCCTCGGAGGCTGCGCTAAGCCGTTAACTTATGCTCCAGTGTGCTAGCCAGACTGTGTGTGTATGTGCTCTAAGATAACAAACAAGGGCGTGGGGGAGGAAGAAAACAAGCGAGCTGAAGCACACACTCCCGATTCCCATCAGAAACCGTTTCAGAGCAAACCCCGAAGGAGGAAGCGTCCTGTGGCATCATCTGACCTTAAAGAGGTGGGGATGCTTGATGTAGAGTCGCCCTCTTGTTCCTCCCATCCCGAGAGCTCTGAAAGAGGAACACGAGGGGGTGTTATACCTGTGCGGAGGGCAGCTGCGGTGGTACGGGGACACCTCCTCTCCTCCCCAAGCCTTTCCTACTGCTTTTGAGGCAGAGAAGCGAAGTGACGGGAGGAGTCTTACGGGCTCCCGCCTTGGAGGCACCACCCTCCACCGGCAGGGCCATTCCTTACTTGTTTGCTCGAGATCCCAGCACAAAGGTTGTGGTTTCAGTCAGTCGGGATGGATCCCACTACAGAGCAATTGGAAAAGGGGCAACATTAGAAATGAAGCTGGTGCCAGCCCATGCTCCACGAGCCTCAGCTCTCTGACGGGGAACCTTGGAACCGCCCCCGGCCTGGGAGGGAGGGAGCTGGCCACGGACCTCAGGACTTCCACAGAGGAGGGAAGCTACATTCCCTCTGGGCTGATCTAAGCAGTTTCCCTCCTGGGAAACACTTGTGGGATCCTCCTGGCTACTACTGCTCTCCCCAGGTCAACTAAAAGCGGCACCACGCCGCAGAGCTACAGGCTACAGTGCCTGGGGGAGACAAGCAAAGGCCTCCAGGCACTTCGCTCCTCTTCTTGCTTCTCTCCTGCACTGCAGGGGCCGTCGGGGCAGAGCACAGCTCGGCGCTGTCCTCCACTCCCACAGCAGTAGGGCTCTGCTGGCGGAAGCAAAGGGGAGGAGAGGGTGAGCCCGGCAGCGTTGGCCAGCCAATACCTTTGGTCCATCCCTTCTCACGGGCTCAGAGACTTTCAGCTTCCACCTGAAGGGAAGGAAAACGCAGTAAGAACAAGTCCCTGCGGGACCAGTGCCGTCACCACCGCGGCACCAGCAGCAGGGATTGAGCCCCAGCCCTTCCAGACCTGCCCTCGTTCACACCCTCCACTCCCCTGCAGCGCCCAGCTCTGCACCCTCGTCTTTGCCGCACGTTCTCCTCTCCCTGGCTGCCAAGATCCCACCACCACCTGTGTCTCACACTGCTTACTCTGCATGGTCCATCTGGACCTTTTCACCCCTTCGGGCCTGTGTTAAAACCACTTCCATGAAGGTCTTTGCCTCCTCGGGGGAACAGCTCAACCTAAAACTCTCCTGCCCCCGCTCTGGCACCTCCCCTGCACCTCTCCTTTGTGCAGGAGGGGAAGGAGACCGTGGGGTTTCTGTACTCCCCCATTCGGGCAGCCTTGTTTCCCCCTCGCCCTCCCGAAACAGGGGCTCTGGCTCAGGACCCATACTCACGCAGCCATGCCCGAGACCCCGCGATCATTCAACAGGCTCTGTCCTGGAGGCCGCCCCTTTCTCTGCATGGAAGAAATCCTTCAGTGACTCAGCTGTGCAGGCTGAGAGAGCCCCCTCGTTACCCACCCTCTCCCATGGAAGCTGTGCTTTTTGTCATGAGCGGAAATGCTAGCTGGCACAAGAGCGAGCACCTCCGAGGCACCCCAAAAGCTGCCCGTGCGCTTGCACACACTCATACTGTGGGAACGGCCAGAAACGAGAGGCAGGCTTCCCAAAACACAAAATCCCTTCTGCGGAAAAACCCTCCTACCTTTTTGGGAACAGGGCTCCCTCGACGATTCAGCTCCTCATCCATCTGTCGGGCACGCTGGAAGAGGAATGGCAGTGGGATGAGCAGGGCCCTTCTCCCCGCTGGGTGGGCAGGGCCCCACGCATCCAGCTGGCTGCGCTCGCGGCAGAGAGCACAAGCGTGCAGGGAAACACCAACCCCACCCTGTCTCAGTGAGAAGCACCGAACTGCAACAAGCAGCGACTGTGCTTGGGATTTTTGTTGCTCTGTAGGTACCGCTCCCTCCTAACCTAACACACCCAGCTCTGCCTCCTCGCTGGTGCACTGATGGACAAGAAGAGGCAGAGAACAAAGCAATTCCAACCCTTCTCCTCCTCCTCCCAGCTCTTACAAGTCATTTAAGCCCCTGGGAACAACAATAATTTTTACCTTTGGTGCTGCCTGCTCATGAGGCAACCTGGGAACAACCTTTTTGCCGTCAGAGAACAGCAGTTTGGCCTGCGGGAAGAGAAAGAAGGGTTATCCGATTCCAGGTCCAGAGAGGGACCTGCCAGCAACGCCCACTTCTGTGTGTCTGCCTGAAAGCCCTGTAACAGCTCTGCTTTCGGAGTGCCGCCACGCAGCGCTTTCCACAGACAGTGAAATGCAAAAGCACAATCTGAGTGTGATAAAGTCTGGGCAACCGGGACAAAAGCCAGATGTGAAAGAAAAAACTCCTGCCCCACCCTCCCAGGACTCTCCGATGGGTGCCAAGGGGCCTGTCTCTGTGGAAGCTCCAGCTGCGCGGCAGCAGAAAGCAGCAGCACGAGCTGCCCAGCCCTGACTGCTCTCCTCTTCCCAGTGAGGATGAAGCAAAGCACAGCATCCCCACCCAGCTGTGGATGCGCGCCCTGCCTAACGGCAAAGCCATTAAGAGGGATGTCCTAGCTGGGCTGCTGTGCTCGGCCAGGCATCAGGCTCTGCCGAGGGAGCAGAGCCTCTCGCTGTCCCCACCTGCTCCAGGCAGCTCCGACAGGTCTCCTGGATGAGCTGCTCGGGGTCCACCTCCTCCCCGACATTATCACGCACGTTCATCGCTGCTTTCTGGAAAAACTGGAGAGGAGGGGGCAGGAGAGGGTCAGAGCCTGGGCAGCCAGGCAACGCCGGGGCAGCCAGGCAGCGCCGGGGCAGGCACATGGGTCCAGCTCCCACGCTGCGCCCACAAGGCAAGGGCCACAGCCCCGTGTGGCGCCCGGCAGCGCAGCTCTCTCCGCAGCCGGCGGTGGGAGGGGGTGGCGGGGCTGTCCCCGCAGCTCTCACCTTCATGTACTTGTTGAAGACGCCCCGGATTTCCTCGTTGATGCTGGGCTGCAGGACAGCCCGCAGCAGGTCCATGGACACGGCCGGGTCGGTGAAGCTGCAGGCGGAGGGCTCAGGCGGGGGGCGCGGGGCCCCCCCTGCTCCAGCCCGGCCTAGCCCGCATCCTCCCCTCCGGTCCGCGCCCAGTCC